TTGAGCAAAACCATCAATCATTAAAGGCCCCGTCTTATGAGTGGATGTTGTGGACATCTATGGAAGATGATAAAGTCTCTACCCCAGTTAGTACTGCTCTTGCTTCTGAAAGTACCCAAGATTCCCTTTTCAGATATTTGTTAATCTACACATATCCCTGGGAGAGGGCGTATCTGATGTCTTTAGCAATTTATCACTTAATTGATGATCAGCAATTCACTTAGTCGAGATTACTAGGTGATGAGATTAAAGAACAGCCTTATGATAATGGGTGTGGGGGAACTGAGAGTGAATATAATTAGTAGTAGGAGGAAGCAGATTTGGAGACTAAAGAGATTGGCAAAAAGACTTTTCCTATTTTCAAATTTTATCCAGTATAGCCCTGGCTATTTTTTGGGGGGTGGGGGTGGGGGTGGAGGGGGAGTGGTGGCGGTGATATATGATAACTATACCACAAGGAATTAACAAAAGGAATGGGCCCAGTTCATTCCCTTTCAAAGGCTTGATTGGTATGCTCTTTCAGGATATGGCGTATTCTCAAGTGTAGAGCACCTAAACAGGCCTCAGAAGATATTTCTAAATTGTGCAAACCAGTGTTGTCAACTGGGGAGCTTGCTCTGCAGTCACATCCCCTAGAGTACGTTCCCTCTATCATTGATGAACACATATTATGACCTTGCTTCTTCCTGGGTCATCATCTACTTAGGAACATTGTGTGGCTAGATTTCTGGCAGGTTAGAGTTCTATGAAGCTTCTGTTTATTTACACTGTAACAAAGATTAGACATGATTCCTCCTAAATTTCTTGGCCTTCTGGTTCAATTCCCAGTGATTCTTTTTAGAGAGCCAGGGTGAAGTCTGCATTCTCCTACTTCTTATTGTCTCTAAGCTGTTCTAGAACATCTGGTCATTCAAGGGCTCTTTCTCTGCCTTGGTAGGGATTCTCTAAGGCAAGTGTTTCTCTAATATGAACCNTATTTTGTTTTTTAGATTCCACATATATGTGAGATCGTATGGTGTTTGTCTCTCTCTGTCTGACTTGTTTCACCTCTAGGTCCACCCAGGTTGTTGCCGATGGCAAGATTTCATTCTTTTTATGGCTAAGTAATATTCCATTGTATATATGTACCACTTATTCTTTATACATTCATTTATTGATGGA